ATATATATATATATATATATATATATATATATATATATTTGTATACTGCTTTTTAAGTATCATGGGTTTGAGTGGTATGTAATAATAAAATCAGTTTTATGAACAAATGGTATTGCCCTCACAGCACCACCCAGAATACAAGGTGCTATTGATTGTATCAGATGACTCCTGGTCCTGCTCTCCTGCAAGGTAATGGTAGAGCAGATATGTTCTTTTTCCTGGGACTAACTTGCTGTGTTGATTTCCATGAAATGCACAAGACAACTATTGGTAGGTTTATTATTCCACTATCAATGGGGCTTCCTACCCAGGAAGTTGCATATGATCACAGCCTTACTTTTGACCTTCATCATACTTGACATTAGCTGGGGGTTTTTTAGATTATTTGAATCAATTTCACTTTGAAAAGTATTAGAAGACATTAAACAGAGTAAGTGATAAATCTGTATTTCAGAGTATGATTGCAGCATTGATTTGACTATTAATCAAGCCTTGGGTTTGGACAGTGCTAAGCTCGTGAAATGGTGAGCAATTGCTCCAGTGAATGATTCTCATCACTGTCAGGTGATTGAGTGCATCACTGATTGTCTGTTACCTTTACTCATTATTATAGGGAGGCTATTTAATAACTGAGGTGTCATACCATGCCTTGTACTGTATCCCCAAATCACCAACTTAAAGACTGAAATCAAGAACTGAATGATAGCAAAAGAATAAATCATCCCAAAAAGGGACAAGAAAGAACTTCTGGGAATGGTTGTTTCATATCACTCCCACATGGTGTTTTCATTATTCTTCAAGAGTAACAGAAATTAGAGTCCATTTGTTCTTTTTGTTCCATATAAATGTAATGCTCTAAAAAATAGATGGGGGCAATTAAATTGAAAGCATGCAAGTCATATTGCTTATATTTGTTTCTTGAAATATGTTTAAGACTGTAGCTAGACTAGGAGCAAAACTTTTCAATCAACAGAAGTCCAGTTCTTCTTACGTGTACGTGTGTGTGTGTGTGTGTGTGTGTGTGTGAGAGAGAGAGACAGAGAGAGAGAGAGAGAGAGAGAGAGAGAGAGAGAAAGCGCGCACGCGTGCTCTCAGATACAGATTGCCGTAATCCTTAAAGCCATTGATAGACCTCGTGTATTGCCTCACCTCAAACCAGTTTCAGTGTTCATCAGTGGAGCCAAGTGCACACACTCAGCTGCCCCTCACTGTGGATAGCCGCTTGGGATGGAGCCAGATTTGGGATGCAGCTGAAAAGGAGACTGTAGATATGAGTTTAGGCAATTGAATGATAAGATGCAGCCTTTGGTAAAATATGATTCTCTAGCAAAAAAGAATTGGGTCAAATTATTTTTGGCCAAATATTAAAAATAAAAGCATCGATACATTCTAGGAATAAGGGGGAATATGTTCCAAAATCTTTATTACACACTGTACAAAAAATATTGCACTTTTAGATCAGGTAATAAATATATACAAAAGTATATTACATATGTTTTAATTTAAAAACAGTATAAACAAACAAAGACATACGAATAAAATCTTGGGCAATGATTCAGCCAAAGTTAATTGCTTTAAAGCCTAATGAACTGAATGTAAGAAAATTAAGCACAGGCTGGCCTCTCCCATTAGCATCAGTGTGTCTTAAGAGTTTATATATTCAAACAGGATCAAGTCATGATGTTTCCTTGCGGTACCACTTCAGTTTCCATCATGGAGTGCAACTTTTTTTTAAAAAATAAGAGCTTCTCCTTTGTTACAAACTCTCTGCATGTAAAAAAAAAAAAAAAAAACCCCAGTGAGGAGGTCTAACGTTGCTTTCTCCACACATTGTGTTTTTCTAGTTGCAGGGAGCTATTTTAATCTTTTCCCCCAAAATGAGCATTCAAATACCCAATTCCTTCACCTAGAAAAATATTGTCCCTTGATTATGTTGACAATTAACTGGCCTAACATGCCTAATTTAAATTCCTTACTAGGTTATATCCCTTCCTTGCAGTCAGCCAAGGACATATAAAAAGCTGTTTGTGCTGTAGCACTGGTTTGCCCTTGAGACAAACCCCATAAGCATGGTGCTCTAATCTTTTTGTAATATAGTCTGGACAGGAACAAAAATTACTGTTCTGACCTTATACTAGATTGTCCCATTTAACAAAATATGGCTGTTGGCCTTTGTACAGGAGTTGCCAATGAAAAGCAGATTTTTCAGAATATTCTCTGTCATTAATAATAGAAATACCATGTTGTTCATCTGGGGTTCTGTTTCTAAAGTGAGCAGGCAGATACCCCCAAAAATCATCTCAGCAGGTCACAAAAGCAGCAGGCTGTGCCTGTTGTTTGTCTACCTCATCTAGTATTCAGAGGCAGAGATTTCTATAGAGTTTCATGGTAATATTCCCAACTGATGGGTCATTAATTTCTCCAGTCCCTTGCAAAGGACTCTAGAACCCACTTTACATGCAGAAGGCCCCAGACTGAATCCATACATCTCTAGGCATGGCGAGGAAAGGCACTTGCCTGAATCTTTGAAAAGCCACTGTTCATCAGTGTAGACCAGCCTTCCCCAACCTGGTGCACCTTCCAGTTATTTTGGACTACATTTCCTAATATTCTTCATCAATGGCCATGATGTCTTGGGCTGATAGGAGCTGAAGTCACAGCTGTCAGCAACATTAAGTATTGCCAAGGCCCACATCCCAGCAGCAGCCCTACTTTCAAGATCCCCCTGGACTTGTTCTTCTTCCTCATGATTGCAAGCTATATCTTCGCCTACATCTCAGAAAGTCGGTGGTGCCCTTTTTGTTCGTCAGCTCTCTGCCTGTCAAGAAATCAACTGGTGATGAGAAAGGATAAGGAGCAATAGCTGCAGGTGTGGTGAGAGAGCAGACTCAGAGTTGAAGAAAGCCCAAGAAGGTGTTTTGCCTGGAGGACCCTAAAAATTCTACAGCGGCATTGGTTGAAATCCAAAACATCTGGAGGGTACCAGGATGGAAATGGCTGGTGCAAACAATACCTAGTTATATGAAGCAATGGTTGATTCTCTACAAGGCAGCTTCCTCTTAGCCATCCAAGTCAGTGGCACTTCTTGGGCCAACAAATTCCACAGGTTAATCATGTACCATGTGAAGGCCTTTTCTGTCCTGTCCTGTCAATTTTACTTGGTAAGCCTAAATTCAATTATTAAGCAAGTGGGATTAAAAATAACAACTTCCCTCAGTCTAAAAATCTAATTGTGCCCCTCTGCTATGATTTTCTAAAGGATCTCAATGAGCCTTCCCTTCATGGGGAAACTGTGAACTTCTAGATCATTTTGATTGTTCTTTACAGTACCTTTTCAAATTCTAGTTATTTTCTTTTTGCGACCTGGTGACCTGAACTGCACATCTTATTTCAAATGTGGTCACCTTTGTTTTTAATATTTGTACTTTTCATCAATCACAATCCAACCTTTTCTGCCAGATTTTACATGCATAATTTGTATGGCAGAAATGAACTACTTGAGGTTGTAGTTCTGAGAACTGAATAGCATACAATAACTCTAAAAGCATAATAGTCAGGATGGATGAAAACCAAATGAAACTGATACTTAACATATGTCCGTCTCGATACGTAGCAGCTCTTTATGTTTGTTTGGTGGGGTGAGTTTCCCTTCCAGTGACTGGAAAAATATAGAACATTTCTTCAAGGGCAATCCAGCCTGACAGATACTTTTGGCCAGAGAACTGTTCTCATTCCCATCTGACCAAGAAGAAGAGAACAGTTCTCAAATATAAAACCCAAATTCCAAGCTCCTGTGTAGAAACCTCGAATCCAATTTTGTATTTGAGTAATTATGCCCCAGCTTTGATCACATTCCAACAAGAGTAACGCAAAAGTGTAGGACCCCCACCCCCCAAATGATGCCTCATTGATTCAAAAATGATTTCGTGGCAGTCTGAAAATCACAAGGGCAGGTATGCCTTTTACTGCTAGCACTTAAACAGAGGAAGGAAAATGAACTTGTGATCCATCTGACAGCTAATCTCAATAAAACATGCCTGTGATAATGTCCTTTTTGTCAAAATGTTAAGGAAATGCAGCCACTTGGGGGAAATTATAAATACAGGCTGCTGTTTCCATATGTTTTGGGAATGGTTTTAAAGTGGATCAAGCTAGCAAGCCAGCAAGTTGCTGCATTCCAGAAAGCCCCCCCCCCCCCCAAAGGTCATGCATGCTAGACTTCAGTTGTCTTTGTAATGCAGGGAGTACTGCTCGGAGCCAATGAATCTGCTCCCTCCACCCTCAATCCCATTAAAGCTGTAATATTTTACAGATAATCAGCCACAATGATATTTTCCCTCAAATCTTAGAACAAAAGCTGGGAAGGCTGCAGGGGAGGAGAGGCAGAGACCAGGAGGGAAGAAATTTCCTGCCCTGAATATCCATATAATGTTCTTTTCCTCAACCCTGTGAGTTCTTTGTTGGCTGGCTGTACTGTAAGAGAGACTGGGCTGAATCAAAGCTCTCTCCTCTTCTCAGGGCATCTTCACTGCAGCATCATGAACTTTCCATGGAGGAATGCCCTTCTCCACAGGACTGACAACACCTTTGTTTGTAGAGGTCTATCAAGCATAATTTTAGTTGCTTTACAAATGTACAGTAGTGAGTTGTGTCCTTGCACTCGCCTTCTGAAAAATACATTGAAATTTGACAAGAGTGAAAAAGGACAGTTACATCACCACAGATCAGAGTAAGTGATGCTTCGAGGCGAATGTCCTAGCCCAACATCTCATTTCGGGCAAGGCAAATATATGACCTAAATACAGTGCTAACCTCTCTCCTTGCATCTTGTCTCTTTCACAAACTATTGTAGAGAAAGCTGCAGGCTGCTTGGAGACTCATTCATGAAAAAGTTGCATAAAATAAGTATCGGTCCAGTCCACTCTCTGAGTCTAACTTAGGAGTCCTTTGTTGGTTGGCTGCTTTTAATTCTTCAGATCAAATTACTTGCTGAACTGGGGCAAACGTCAGAGTAATTATCTGGGAGGAAGGATTTTGTTGATGGCTTATGAAGTTCATTCTAGTACTAGAGTTCAGCACCACTCTCTAAACGCAATTTGCCTCAAGCGGACCAGCAAGTTCAAAAAGGAAACAAACGTTTACATACTGTCACAGGAAGTGACATTGCAGTGCTGCCAGGCCACCGGCTTCTTCCTCCAAGCACAGGACTGATCTGCCACAGGTCTTTTGCTTCTCCTGTGCATGCAGCTGACTGGGCGTGACTGGAAACCGCTCCCACAATCCATGGTGCACGGTCGCCAGGGACCCGTCTGCCAGTACACATCACATTTGTCTGAAGAACAGTTTCTTCTTATGGACGGTCTGCAGAAAGGGGGAGGAAGAGCAAAATCAGGGCGTGGTTTGAGATATATTTCTTCAGAAGATGTTCTTTTGGACATAGTTCCGTTAAAGCATAATAGGAGCTCATGGCCATGAGTATCAGGTGTGTAGATCAAGTCAGTATGTGACTGTCGGCCCCACAACCACCCCCTCTACTTCCTGGCCTTCACTGCACTCCAAAGGTTGCCAAGTCTCCCTGCTGCAGAAGTGCTGTCAAGAAAAGCCACGGCTGGTCAAATTACCCTTCCCAAGGTCTACACCCAGGGTCTGCACTACGATTCTGAACAAAGCCACTGTGGCTCCAACCGCTGCCTGTGGGGTTGGACCTCCTCTCTCCTCCTCAGAAGCCTGTCTGAGCTGTGGGGATGGACCTCCGCTCTCCTCCTCAGAAGCCTGTCTGAGCTGTGGGGTTGGACCTCCTCTCTCCTCCTCAGAAGCCTGTCTGAGCTGTGGGGATGGACCTCCTCTCTCCTCCTCAGAAGCCTGTCTGAGCTGTGGGGATGGACCTCCTCTCTCCTCCTCAGAAGCCTGTCTGAGCTGTGGGGATGGACCTCCTCTCTCCTCCTCAGAAGCCTGTCTGAGCTGTGGGGTTGGACCTCCTCTCTCCTCCTCAGAAGCCTGTCTGAGCTGTGGGGATGGACCTCCTCTCTCCAGCCCATTGGCCAAGGAGTTCCACTCTGCCCAAAACCTGCCCGGAGCTTTGCCAAGCCTTTCCTCCTTGTTCTCCAAGCAGACTTCAGTCAGTCTCCTGGCAAGCAAATCCCGACAGGCTTGAGGTAGGGCCACCTGACCTATTCTCTCCCATGGTTGCCCAGGTAGAAGGGTGTAGCTGCTCAGCCAAGGAAGGCCATGCTTGCAATCCTTCTCTTCCCTCTTCTCAGTCCCACATCTTGTCCCCCACCCCCCCCACCACCACCATCAAGTTTCTCAGGGTCCATAATCAGAGGAAGAAATGGAGTTACATGGAACAGTCCTTCACTGGGCCAGAAAAGCGGCTGGCATGAACACTGGTCTACACAAAGGCCGCTTGGTTTTTCTTCTTTGGGTCACCAAATGCATCTTGACACATTTACAAAGCATCAGGCTTCGTACAAATAAGCTTGAATTCTTTTCATGGAAATGCTTTTAGGATAGTGCATAGAACCTGGTAGAGAAGCAGCAGTCTTTAAAAGCAAGGCTGCTATCTTTATTTTCCCTGCCATTGTTTCCATTCAAGAAGGAAAAGTCATCTGTTCATTTCCGCCTGTCAACCCATTGTTGAAGTCAGGGGGGTTTGTCCTGGAAGCAATTTCCTTTGGGCAAGTGGGGCAGGCACTCCCTCCCAGCCTGGGGCCCTCCAGTAGCTGACTAGTACGTCTCTCAGCATTCCTGCTCGTTCGCTGTGCGTGGTGGGACTGATGGAGCTGCAGGCAAAACAACGGGAGGGCACCAGACTGGGGAAGGCCGGGCTACAAGGCCACTGTTCGGTGGACCCTCAGCATCTCCAAATCCGGAATGGAGCATGTGGCAACGCACCTCCTCTAAAGGACTGACGTGGCACGAAATGCATGGCATGCTGTCAGCTGACACGGATGTTTCGAAACAGTCAAAGACAAGCCTCTCTGCTGGCAACGGTACCTTTTCTGCTTATCACACAGCGAGTTCGATACCACAGATCCATTCTGATGCTGACACCGAACAAAGCGGTGCTGCAGGCCCATCCCACTGCCCCTGCAGGGGCCAGTGCACTGAAAAGAAAGCCAACAGGCAGCATTACAAGGCAAAATCTGCACCAGGCAAAATGCAAGTAATTCAGACCTGTGAAGATATTAGAAGCACATGGTCCATCTCTGTCCAGTTCCCACGTGTAGTGCAGATTCCAGGAAGGGGTCATATTAATCCCTATTGCCTATTTCCGTGCAGAAGCCTGGGCACAGCCGCCCATCTGCCTGATCTAGGAGCTAATTCTCTATGAAGAGACTCTAATGAGGTCTATGGGGCAGAGTGAGTTACTTGCAATGTGGGATACAGCTGAGAGGAGACAATTCTGGCATTTACTATAGGCACTGTGTGCATAGGGGGCAGGTTTTTAGTACACCTGAAATGGTTGCTTACCTACCTCACAGGGTTGTTGTGAAGATTGTATGCAACCCTGAGGCGCTTGATAGAAAGGTAAGATGTGAATTTGAGTAGTGGGCACTTGGAAGATCAAATAGGAGATGGATGGACTCCGTAAAGGAAGCCATAGCCTTGAATTTGGACTAGTTGAGCAGGGATGTCATGAGCAGAACATTCTGGAGGGCTTCCTTTCAGAGACGGCGGCACATCACAACAGAACAGCAGGGGCTGCTCATGCTGTGCAGTTGGGCAGGCATCAGGCATTCAGGAGTCTGCAGAAAATCCCGTGGAGGTTGCACAGGGAGAGCAGCACAGGCGCAAGTAAGAGACGAGCCCCCCTATTAATCACGCTACCTGGCCCCATGGATGAACGGTCCACTCTGTGCACGAATGCCCCACGCAGGGCTTCCTTTCCAAAGGGCGCTCCTTGTGTGCACAGGTGCCCAGAGGCACCGTGACGGTGGTGCCATTAGCCTTGAGTTGCTTGCACAGTCTCTGGCGCTGGCGAAACCCACTGCCACATGAAGCTGAGCATGCCGACCAGGCTGTTGCAGCCCACCTGAGGAGAGAAAACGCTTTTACAACAGCGAAGTGCCAAGGCAACTCCCCATCCAGAGCTTGTGCTTTCATTTGAAAAGCAAACGAGTGCTTGCAACTTCAGGTGTAGCAATGCCTGACTATACCAGGTGCAATGGCTGCGCCTTCCATGGTCGAGGAGGTTACCTTAAACCCAGAGAGGCTGCCCCTTTCAGAAAGAGCACAAATTCGCGGAGGACGGGACTATCAAGGGATGCTGCCTCCAGCATCAGGCAGCATGCCTCTGACCGCCAGTTGCTGGGGAACATGGGTGGGAGGCTGCTGCTGCACTCCTGACCCGCTTGTGGGTTTTCCCTGGGCTGCTGGTTGGCCACTGTGTGAGCAGAATGCTGGACTAGAAGCGCCCCCGCTCGCTTGCATCCATCCAGGGTCTTCTTTCGTCCTAGCACAATGGGCGAGACAGTTCTTTGACTGAAGCCCAGCTAGGCTTTCTGTCAGCTCCTCATGAGCAGAGCAGGAATCCGTGGCTGGATATGCACCACAGCACTAGCCCTTGGGCTAGAAGTGATGCTGAACGCTCCCGTGGACTTCATTGTGCACGCGTCACATGCTTTGCAATCTTGCCCATGTTTGGGCCAGAAAAAGAAACACCTCTCTAACATTTTTAAATGAACATGGAGGAAACTGGAATGGCCAGATTTGTCTATGGAGGTCCAGGGCTTTGGAGGTCCAGGCCTTAAAGCCTCGCTGAAATCTATGGAGGTCCAGGCCTTAAAGCCTAGCTGAAATCCCCACATAGTCAGCCATGTTGCTGCTCAGATAAGGTTGTCTGCTCTTTCTGGCTCCCCATCCTTACTGGCTTCATTGCTGGCAGGTACAACATGATCCTCTCCCTGGGGCCATTGTGGAATCAACTGAACAGGGACAGTGCCTGGGGTGAGAATTTTGCTGCCATTCATTCTTGATTGGCATTTACCAACACACACAAAAATTCCTTACTAGGGAAGAAAGAACTTGAGTCTTAAAAGAAATCCACATGTTGGGGGACCAAGAGATGGACAGTTACATCCCTGCCCTCTCGCTGCAGTGCATTCAGTCTACTAATGGCTACCAGCCATTTAGGAAGCTTTGGGTGCCTTTTGTTGTGCCTCCTCATGGAAGTGTAGTGGTGGTGGTGGGGGGGGGGGGGGAGTCTGGCTGCTGCTGTCTTCCTCCCAGCTTCCCCACTGCTTCTTCCTTTTTTTAAAAAAATCCCACCTTAAAAAAACTATTAAAGAGGAAATGATGCATTAGCTGCACTAGGTATTTTGATGGGCACATGAGGAGTTGTGTGTCTGGAAGTAGACACTTAAAAAAAAGACATTTCCACTTTTATAAGTAATACAGCTGCTGTTAGCAGAGGCTGGTGAGAAATGGTGTAGCGATCATGCCGTGTTCATTGTGAACTCCCCCGGGGTGCCTGCCCATTGACTAGAGGGGCCTGGGGTCCAACCGAGGTAGATAGATATCAATGAAAACTTTCCTTCTGGGGTTCATTGGTATCAGCCCACCAGCTACAGTGAGGTGCTGGTTCTTGGACCAGCAGCAGGGGAGGACAATACTCAGCCTTCTTTCTTGCACATGCCTGCTATTAATTAAAAACGAAACACCAAGAACTGATGCGGGGCTTAAAGGCATGTCTTGATGCATCTAGTTCAGTCTTCAGTGTGGTATGTAAGCAGCTAGAACCCAACTGAACTGAGCCTGCTTTAAAGTTTCTCCAGGACTTTGAGATACCAAGCAGAAACGTCATGCAAAGATTCGGCTTGGCTTGGGGCTCCGAGGGAAACATTTGAGGGAGAAAAGATGGGCTCTCTCCCTTTCCACCTGCGGTGCATGCCTGGCTTCCTCCAGGCTTCACAGCTTGCATGGCAGATGGACGTATCATCAGAAAACCGAATGCTGGTCCAGCCATCAGTGCTTCCCCCTCCCTCTCAGTTACCTCAGTTTTTCTGGCTCCCTTTTCCTTTTTAAATTTATGACAAGTGCCACAGTTGTTCATTCACTTATGCATTCACCATTTGCCCTATTTAAAAAGACACTTGCAAGCTTTGTTTAAAAAGAATTGAAAAATTGCTTTGAAGATTGGCCGGGAGAAGCCGGCTGTAGCATCACTGGCAGTTCCCCCCTACATGGCCTGGAAAGGCAGAGTTTTCTTATTCATTGTCCTCCACAATTAAAATGGGCACAGCCAGGTCTTGAAGACCACATCTTGGAACAGAAGAAGCACCTCTGTTCACATAGCCGAAATTGCCTCTTCCATCTTTACATAATTGTACCCCTCAGATTCCCTTGTGGGCTGGGAATGCTTTGCAACACCCCCGTGCCCCCACCTCTTAGGACTTACTCTGAAGCATCCGCTATCACTTTTCTATAGGCTGCAACACAAACTACCATTGCAGGGTGAAGGGACAAGAAACGGAAATGATTTGAAAAGAAGGCATTTTGTAAAACACAGCAGTGTAAATACTGAAATAAACCAGCAACTGAACATAAATACCTGGCAGGACAATCGAGGATGTTGCAAGGCTGGTAACTCACAAGGGGCTTTGGAATCCCTTTGCACAACGACTTGTTCACCCTTTGCCCCTTCAGGCTCACGCAGAGCAGCCTCCGGAACTTGGTGCCTGATTTCCCACAAGTAGCCGAACACGGGCTCCACTCGCCAAGCTCCCATCCGTAGTTCGCTAAAAAGTGGGTAGCGGGAGAAAGCAACCAGTAAGCAAAACGGAACACTAGGGGCTGCATCTCAAACAGCTCTTCAGCTTCAGAATATTGGGCTCGGCCATACGCTGAGTCAGGTCTTTGGCCAAATCCAGTCCACTGAATGCTGCCCTCGATCGACAGCCACAGAGCCAGAGCATGGCCGTAGATGAGCGGCGTCCGTAGCAACTGGGCCCTGCAGAGCACCGGCATGGGCCAGGCAGGGACATTGTGGGGCCTTATCCTGCCATCATTCAGCGCTACAGCACAGGGGGCATCTCCTGCAGCTAGCACATCCCATAACCTCCCAGCATCAACGCAGAAACTCTGGTTGGGTTGAATCCTTATTGCTGAAACAGAGTGGAAAAACACTCACTTCTCACCACACCTGAAAAAAACTCTTGACAACTACAGTCTCTAGCATAAAGGGCTTCCTTTTATTATTGAGACTACAATTCAAAATGATCCCTCCTGGGCCCTCGCAGACATAATCTGAAAGATGAAGTCCTCTGTGATGTTGACAGGTTTTTAAGCAATCTTGGATGTCATGAGGCTGTGCTTTTTTGGTTTTGCTTTTGAATGGGGGCAGGATTGGTCCTGCAATATCCAGGAATAATTGATCGCTCCCAGCTGTGTCTACAGTCTCTTTCCTATGGCACATAATGAATTCTTTAACTTATTGAGTTTTCCGTGTTTCCTTATTACTTTTGGCTTTCTTAAAATAATATAAAAGTGCCCTTTTCAAAGCAGAAAAGGTTAAAATTTACTAAGTGCAAGTGCACCTGAAAGGCTGCATTATTTATTTGGCCATGAAGACATGGCGTGGCAGTGCCTCTCCCCTCCACCAAGCACCCATCACGCAAAACCCACCTCTTCGGCACTATTTTAAACATTCACAGTGCATAACAACCCTCCTACACACAGACACTTCCCAGGATTGGGAGAGCCCTTTGAAGAAGCACAGAGCAGCGGGTTTGATGCTGTTTCTTACCTGGCTCGTGGCTTGAGCACCATGTGCATCTTTGCCACCTGCTGCAGGACTTCAGAAGGTTTTCCTAGCAGCTCGGTCCCTGTTCCTTACCTTCAGTGCCACAGAGAGTAGAGCTGGTGACTGGGGTGCTTCCAAACAAGGCTTTTATTGTGCAGTTGGCCTGCCTCCTTGTAGAGTTTTAAAGAGGAGGGGAGTCTGGGTGCCATCATCAGCTTACAGCCCCGTGTATTCCTACCACCTCTTCCAATTCAGGAGGAAAAGGTGGAATTGCTGCACGCTGCCCTCGGATGGGCAGTGCCAGGAGCCAGGAAAGTGCCCCTGGGTAGCATCGCAAATGGCAGCTTGCAGCATCGGATGATGCGAGGGGCCAGTCGGGCACCATCTAAGCCTGCACAGTTGCTGATTCTAGCCTGCCTTCTTGGGTGGAGCAACTTGCCGTGCGAGGAGGTGCTTCCAAACAGCCTGCCCCTACCTGCAGGAGCCAGGTCTGCAGTGAGTATGACCATGCCCAAAGCCATGCCCCCAACATCACAGGCAGCTTTGTCAACCCATCAGAAACCAGTCCCAGCAGTTTTATTTCCGTACATCTCTCCAGTGCCAGGCAGAGATCTCGTCAACTGCTATTTGGACCTCTGGAGATGCTACAGCAGAGGTCCCCCATGGGGTGCCTCCGAATGTGCCCACAAAGAGGTCCCTGATATGGCCCCATGGGCACATGCAAAATTATTGCATTTCATTTCATTTCCAAATGCATGTATTTGTATATATCCCTAGCAATGAATCCGCATGGAATGCAGGCAGCTTTCCAGGAGTTAGAGAGAGGCTTCAACAAAAGCAGAGCAAATCTTCTATGGGTATCTGAAAGGTGGCATTAAATGCCACCCAGTCAAATACTGAAAGTTCTGTAAGGTCCTTCACCATTGCATTACCGGACGTGGGTGTTTATCATTCCAACATTGTCATATTAGCCTTTAGCATTCAAAAAAGTGCAGAAAATCCATTTAAACAGATCATTTGTTAATTCCTATGAAGGAGATAAACAATTTTAAAAAGTGTGCATTTCAGTAAATATTAATGACTGCTTCAGGACAAAATGGGATCAACTCCTCCCCAAATGAAGCAACTGCTGAACATTACAAAAGCTGCATTTCAGTGCCAGCAATTTTCCAAATTAGGTAGTGTCTTATGAATGAACTGCTGCAGCATCATAGACATGAAGAAACAGGTTTTGTTCAATAAGGCGCAGTCTAATATTTATTAGCACGATGGGCCAAGGTGGTGACCCAATGCTACTGCATGTCATGGTGGTGCCCACAGCAATTTCTCAAATTTCCCACTGTGCCAGGAGTCCAAAAAGTGTGATCCACTGACCCTGGGACCATCCACATGTTCTCTGCCTCTAACGTCTGAGTAATCCTCTCTTCCCCTCCTAGAAAAGGGAGAGCCGAAGCATGCAAAGCATTTTCTGGTGTGCCCAGGACAGCTCCCAAATTGCCCAGTCCACCTAAGAGCCTCCAAAGGGGGCCTGAGTCACACGTAAAGGCCTTCAGTATTGATTCGGAAGGAAAAAAGCTCAAGTCAGTTAAAGGAGAAATAACATTAAGAATTGTGTCATGAATTTTCAACAAACCTTCCTCCTTGACATTTACCCAGACAGACAAGGGCTTGGCACTCGATGATGTGCAACATTTGTATGGCCCAGCAAACTGGCTGGAGATTCTGTGCACCTCTAAGATGCGTCCCCGAACCAGGATCCGGTGACAGAGACCTTCAAGTTCTTCAATTGGTTGATTTTTGAAGAACCAATGAATTACGTTCTTTGCGCTTGGATGCGAAGGACATCCTAGAAAGCAAGGACATTTTTAGCTTGTTTCCCTATAACATTAAGGTTTTGTTCTTCAAGTATCTATACAATTACACATTTCTGTTATTCTTCTGCACACAGTTTTGGGAGGGGCTACTTAGCCACACACTGTTTCATAGATGTGTGTTTGTCAATTGATCAGGATCCTCATCACCACATTTCTGGGGCCATTTGCTCACATTGTGGATCTCCAGCCACATTTGAGAATGGGAAGCTGATATCGATAAAGAACAGTACAATAAGTTCACACCACACACGTGAGCTTATTGTACTGTTATTTATACTGTAGGTAAACCCTTAATCTAGCCATACCAATGTGATCACTCCCAAATTTTCAACACGTAAGTTTTGTTCGGCTTGAAACTTCATGTTGATTTTTCCTAACCAGAGAAACTTGGTTATTAGGAAGTATATAAATACTGTAGATTAAGAAAGGAAGGGAAAAACTGTCTGCAGAATAAAAGCTAGATTACAAGGACTCTTAGATGATGGAGAAGATGAAGGTGATGATTTAACAATTATGAATGTCTACTCAGAAGCAAGACACATTCAGTTTGATGAGGTTTACTTCCAGGTAAAGGGTAGTAAGATTGCAATCATAAGTTGTAGACCTATTTGCAATTACCTGGGAGTCGCTTCTATTGAGTTCAGTGGGATTTACTTCTGGGCAGACATGCAGAGAATTGATGGCACTGTCAACTAATTACTCATTTTATGGCTTGATGCATTAGTGCTACAATCCTTTGCCCACTTATCTGGGAGGAAGCCTCAACAGGACATGCCTGTGACATGTAGGGATGCATTGGATAGGCTCCAGATGTAGGGCACCACTGTAAAACAGTAGCGCTGAGACAAAACGTAAACTGGAGATTATGCAACTGTGTATCATAGCAGACATTCTTTTTAAAATGGGCTTCTCCTTTCTGTCTGAGAGAAAAGGGAAAATCCATCTGTAGGTTTTATAAAAGCTTGCATTAAAAACATTTTTTAAACAAATAAGCTCAGATTAAGTGGGGCATCCTGTTAGGGGATCAAAACTTGTTATTTGCTGGCACCATCTGGTTAATTAGTTAAAGATTTTGAATCAAAAGATGCCTAAAGAAGAATTCACGAAATATATTGTCTTTATAGTAATACATAATGAATATCCATTATATATATATGCAGCTTCCTATGAAGCTATTGGTTCAGCATAGGTTTCAGTCAGAACGTGGGAGGTGCATAGCAAAAGCTCCCGGAAAGCTGAGTGCATGCAGATTGCAACATGGGGGGGAGGCAGGCAGGTGCAAGGGACCGCCCCTACCTACTCAAATGGTGCCCTAGCAGCAGGTAAAGATACACTGAGCCATACCTATCCGTAACAGATCCCCAGACACCACACTAACATTGGTGCCAATTCCAGAGGCCATGAGGACACGCTTTCTCCTTCGGTTGCTGGATGATCCGTTGTTAGGCTCTGGAAACCTTTGTCCTGAGAAGAAAGGGGAGAAATTGAAGCTTTGCATGCCAGTTTTTCCCAGGAGTAAATGCTATGGGATATTCTCCCTAACCAGGCAGGCTTATGCTGGAATGCTCTTGAACGGCTCTTTGGATGGTTGCCTGTATTTTTATGCCGGCTTTCATTCCCAGAGCCAAGTGGGCGGAAAGGGCAACGCTGAGCACCGTTATGGTATGTTACCCAGGCTGTTCCCCCAAAACGCCTCAGAGCATGACTTCATGCAAGGCTTGCTCCAGGCCTGCAGGGGCCCTGGGGAGGCCCGTCTGCTCTAGTAGGCAGTGCCAACTGCTTGGCCTCCCTGCTCCGTCTGGCGGCATGAGCGGCGCCAGGGGAGGTAGCACCAGCCCGTCTTCTCAGACGTGGCTGCAGTCCTCACAGCCGCACCATGTGGTTCTCTGCTGTGATGCCACTTTGGGGGGTGGCTTGGGCTGGGAAGGGCAACTACAACCTGCTCACTTTACCAAAAGATGCCCTGTGCTGAAGGGAACGAAAACTGTTGGAACAAGCCTGTTGCTAGGGGCAACCAGCTGCCTGAATCACTGTACACACTTGGCGGCTGTACAGCTCCGCCATGACGAGCAGCCCCTGCCCAACATGTCCACCGCCCCACCACCTCGTTAGGTTGAAATGGTCTCCGAGCAGCTGTGTGAGAGGGCTGAAAATGCAGGAATCCTTTTGCCAGTAGAGGGGAAGCGGTTTCAACGAGGCCTTCGGCACTGGGGCTCAGCAGGCGCCTGGCCAGGCAGAGGGGAGCATGGGGCCTGCCTGTCCAGCAGCTCTAGTCCCGAGGTGGTACTTGCCAGCCAGCCGAAGGACGGTTGTGGCTGCAGCTTGTCCGAGAGCGTTGGTGGCCGTGCACGTGTACGTCCCCGTGTCTTCCCCTGAAACATTCCTCAGGAGTAAGGTGCCATTCGCAACAGCAGAGACATTCCCTGGAAAGCTTTCCTTTTTAAACCATGTGATCACAGGCTGAGGAAGCCCTGGGGATGGGGTAGCAAGGAAGATACAGGAAGGAACTGAATAAATCAATGCCCACATTTGTGAAAAGTGGTTGTGAAATGGGAGGTAGAATATTTAGAATTTAAATGAGCATGATCACACCCTTTTAAGGAATATTAGTCCAATTAATTATCTCCCAAGCTCAGCCTACATGTCTTTTTGAGATGCTGAAGGACATGTAAGACACCTTATGGAGGGACAACACTAAGCCAAGCTAATGTTCATTGTTATAAAGGAAATATCCACACATAATGATGTCTAAAGGACCTTATCCAGCAGGTCCAGGGACTACAACTTGTCCTCAAAGCCCATTTTACAATAAGTGTGCAAGGATACCAAAAAGTGTGCAGGGAGAAAATTAGTGTTGCTTCCCAATTTCCCCAAGTGACAGGAAGCCACAGGGCAATCTTTTACATGTCGTTTGCTTTGGGAAAGAGAACTGATAAAAGGTTCACACCCTTTCTTTTCCTTATTTTATAGATAAAATTGGGATTGGAACATTGGGGAGCAGTTCTTTCATATACACACATTGGAATAAAGCAGTAGGATGCAAGAGTGTAGCACAACTAAGACCACACTGAATTAGTTCACGTTTGCGATCTGCAACATTACCACAAGCAGGGCATTTGTATATTACTCTCTGGAGCCACCAGGTGGTTCACACCTGCTTACAGGCAGGCTGAGACTCACTAGCTCCTGGCTGGGGGTACCGGTGCAATGACCGATAGCTACCACTCTTCAGGTGTTGAGGGAGGTTTTCCGCAGTCATCCTTCCTGCACCTCAGTAGGTGAAATGAGCTGACTGCAAGAGGGCATCCATGCTTTGCCCACTCCCTGGCTCCAGAGCCCTGGCTTGCAAGGCTTGGGAACCCTCCATCCCCTTCCACATACTTCCAGGTACTTGTTCCACTCCCACCTGTCCATCTCTTTGGCCAATTGTGGCCAACCTGTCGAAGGCAGCCACCCCAGCACCTACTGCTCACAACACAAACCAGCTCTATCGTGCAGGACAGGGGAAGCACACACCCTTTACAAAGTATAGCTTGCCCGCTTGACCAGCACACTGTTTCCCACACAGACCATCAACCATCAGCTAATCCCAGGCTGCAGCCTGAAGTGAGAAAGGGTGGGAAGGTGGGTGGGAAGGTGGGTGGGTGCTGTGACTGCAAGTCTCATGGTTTAAATGCCCGGCCCAATGCCACCATCAGTGCAAGATGGGTCCACCTCTCCTCTGCACCTTGCCTTCCATGCATGTGCTGCCCCCGCCTGGATTCTTCACAAAGGGAAGGCAAGCATGTTCCATCCAGCTGGTATCCATTCCCCCAGAAGCCAACAGCAGACATTTGGAGCTTCTCAGTCACAGAATTACTGTTGTTAGTTGCAAAGTCATGCCTGACCCATCACGACTCCAGGGACAACATTCCTTCAGGCTCTTCTGCCTCCACCATCCCTTGGAGTCCATGCAAGCTCACACCCACTGCCCCAGTGACTCCCTCTGGCCACCTCATCCTCTGCCATCCCCTTCTCCTTTTGCCGTCAATTGTTCCCAGCATTAGGCTCTTCTCCAATGGGTTGTTCCTTCTCATTAGGTGGCCAAAGTATTTGAGTGTCTGGCCTTCTCAGTCACAGAATACAGACTTCCAAACAGTTCCTTTGCAACTGATCATATCCAGTGGAATGATTGGAAGCCTCCAAGTTGTGAGGCTTGTAGGCATGCCTATAGAACTGAGCTCTTATTCAATGGGAGATGGGTAGAAAAAGGCACGCAGCTGAAAAATGCAAACTCTAAGCAGACAATGGAAACCTGCAGACAAGACTGTGTACACATTTCTGTGCAACAGCCCCTAGCCCAGCTCACATGGAGTCAGGGTGGAGCTTGGCAGTGAGAAGACGAGAGCCTTGACAAAACTGAGCTTGGCAGTTTTCCCCATTGCTCCACTTGAGGCTTTTTCCATCACTTCCATCAGCTGACCTTTAACTGGAGGCTTCAGGGACCAAACCGGGACCTTCAGTATGCAAAGCGAAAGTCCCTCCCCATAGAACTGCTAATCATTAAGCCAGGTTGTACACTCTTCTCAGGTCATTTGCAAAATTGCTTTTCAGTGATTTCTTCATGATGTGGAATGATCCTTGAGAGAGGAAGTTTAGCATCTCAGTCAGAAGCTTAGCACTTTTCTCTCCACACCTCTGTTTTTCTCCTCAGTGTAATGTAAACCAGACTTAATTTTTGGAGCTAGCTATTTTTATTGAAAATCAATGTGTCCATCAAATAGGAGCAGAAAGAAAAGCACTCTAACAGGGTCACCACCAATTAGGGCTTACTGTTTTCAACTCAGAACTCTATTTTCTGTTTTGCTTTGTTTTTTAAGCTGTAAAGCAAGTGAACAACTTGTTATAAAGAACTAGTAATTTAAGCTGCAGAGAAGTCACTTCTCCCAACTCAGAGAAGACCTCTTGAAATCAGGAAGAGACCTTGTTCCAAGACAGAGTACCCTTTCAGTTCCAGCCCAATAACTTTCAGCCAGAGTTTTGACACTTTCTCATAATATTCGCAGCTAGATTTTTTTCATATGCGCTATATTTGCAAGAGGTACTTTTGAAGACCAACTCATTACACAGAGGTCAAGGGAGCAATGCTTAAAAGGGATAACTTGATGAAATTACCACTTAAGGCTGAAATCAGGCAGGAAGCAACCACAGCAATAACAAAAATATTAGCGCTGTTAATTAAAAGAGTTGCAATCCTGCATGCATAATAAACCCAATGTCTTCAGCATAGTGGTTTTTACAGGCTTTGGATTCCGACATTCTCAGGATGTCCACTGAAGCACCTGGCTTCATTCCTGGTCAATTTTCAAGTTCAGTTCAAAGAGGTGATGCTGACTTTTGAAGACCTCTGTGGCATTGGTCCACCCAGAGCTCCTGATGGATGATTGTTTCCACTCATGCCTTAAGGCAACCCTCCCCACTCTAGTGAGCCCCAGATGTGTTAAAAGGTTATCCCAATAATTCCTACCCAGAGGCCATACTGGCTTGGAACTAGGGGAGTACCATCCAGCACATCTGGAGGGTGCAAATTGGGAGGTGCTACCATCTTCTGGAGACCTTCTTAAGGTGCCAGAGCCCTTGTTGTTGTTGTTGTTGTTACATTGATCTTGCAAAGCAGCTTACAAGGTTCTCCTTCTCTCCATTCTGTCCTCACAACAACAACCCTATGAGGTAGACTAGCCTGCAAATCCATGACTAGTGCAAAGTCACCATATTAGCTCCAGGACTGAGTGGGGATTCAAACCCGGATCTCCTGAAACCCCATCTTAGCTACTGCACCATGCTGTAAAAGATAATGTTCTCTAAACACAAAATACCATAGTTTCACTTAAAGTCACTCCTAATTGGGCAAAACAAATTATTCCATAAAATTCTAGGATATTTTGGGATAGGGAATACTTTAATGGAAAGTACTATGCTAACAATTTTTCATACACAACCTTTTAAGGTTGAGGAAATTTGTTTTTAAGCATAAGTATATGGACTTCCTGCAGTGCACATGTTGGAAAGAAATAGAAACATCTCTTCATCTACATGTAGGCTGTGTTGTTGTACTATATATCAGCCTTTTTTAAGGTAGATTTTTCTCCTGTGTAGGACTACATGAAACTGCATGGTTGAATCCTATTGCATATATAACTGAGCTCACATTGAGTAGACATACATGGAATTGGGGCTAAAGAGTATTGCTAAGAGTACTGCTAAGATCAATGATAAACTCTTCAATCATAAAAACTTAGGACTGAGGCATTTTAATGCACTGTGCATTTAGAAACATAGAAACAGAGCGAGTCAGAAGGGGCCTACTGGGCCATCTAGTCTGACCCCTGGCTCCAACCGGCTCTGCTCATGACCACCACGTGCATGTCTACCTTTCTTGGAACACCCTCACTGATGGGGCCTCAACCACCTCCCGTGGAAGCCCATTCCATACCCTCGGAGTCCTAACTGTCAGGAAGTGCTTCCTGGCATATAAATTGAACCTTGGTTCCTGATCTTTGCTCTGTTGGAGCGCATCCTGCCTTCCTCTGCAGGGGAGAACAGGTCTCTACCGATCTCCATGTGACATCCCCTCACATACTTGTATGTCGCCAACATATCCCCTCTGAGTCTCCTCTTCAGCCTGCTGAAGAGACCCAGTTCCCTCAGTCTCGCCTCATACCCCATCCCCTGCAAACCGGCCACCAACCTTGTGGCCCTACGCTGCACTGACTCTAACCTGGCTATAACCTTCCTGTAATGAGGGGCCCAAAACTGAGCACAATACTCTCGTTGCGGGCACACCAGAGTCGTGTAGAGTGGTAGTAATACCTCTCTCGATCTAGAAGCCACACTTCTGGCTATGCGACCAAAGGTGGCATTCACCGTCTTGACCACCGCATCACACTGCTGACTCAACTTACTATATTCCACAAACTCTCTTGTAAATATATCTGTGCATGTCTAGCCTTTCTCGGAACACCCTCACTGATGGGGCCTCAACGACCTCTCGTGGAAGCCCATTCCACACCCTCGGGGTCCTGACTGTCAGGAAGTGCTTCCTGGCATCCAGATGGAACCTTGGCTCCCTGAGCTTTGCTCCACTGGAGCGCGTCCTGCCTTCCTCTGCAGGGGAGAACAGGTCTCTACCCACCTCCGTGTGACACCCCCTCACATACCTGTATGTCGCCAACATATCCCCTCTAAGTCTCCTCTTCCCCAGGCTGAAAAGACCCAGTTCCCTCAGTCTCGCCTCATATGGCATCCCCTGCAAACCGGCCACCAACCTTGTGGCCCTACGCTGCACTGACTCCAACCTGGCTATAGCCTTCCACAACTCCAGTTGTGGGAGCACCAGAGTCATTTATTATTTATTTATATAATAGTAATAATAATAATTTATTAATTTCATTTGTATACCATCTCACAGCCAAAGTGATCTGGGCGGTATATCATGTAAGCTAGGAACTGGGTTCACTTTGCTTTCAGGGGACCGCTGAGTGCCCGTGTCCTGCTCTTTGGGGAAGGCACTGCCTAGCGCTTCTGCTTCTGCTCTTAGGACACGTGGTAACGGGTAAGAGTACAAAAAGCAGCAGCACACTGGATGCGTGGTTGCCACAACCACACAAGGCACAACCAAACGAAAAATAAACAACGAACTTGGCTGTACAGAAAATGATCTCAACAGATCGTGCTCTAAAAATAGGAAAAATGGAAAATGAGATTTGGGAACATTTCAGGAAATGTCAGAACTTGAAAAATTTAGAAACATAATAAAATGTCCCATGCAAAATTTGATATTAATACATTTTTTCTTTTTTTACCAGTAGGTGGCGAAGAACACCCATAACAATAGAAGTGTCTTAATTTCTAGTAATTATTTCAGTGTTAGTTTCACTGGTGTTTCACTCTCTGCTGTCAATGAAAATCTAGGCTCCCTGAAGTTTGGATGTTTGCTTGCTTTTTAAAAAAGCAGTGTGATCCACCAGGAAAACAGGAGGGTTTGACTGCATTCATAGTAAGCATGTTGACTGAAAAGCTACCAGCCATGAGGATACAGAGCAAGACGAAGATGCTCTCCCCCCTGCCAGGCTGAGTTCCAGTTCAGAGCAGCTCTCAGAGGCTGTATCTGAGTGGTGGACAAAGCCAAAACAAAGACGCATGGGGATAAAGCATACCAGCATATTGACACTTAAGGCTTTTGTCTGTAACGTAGCTTTGGAGATGCATTTCAGCCTTTCGGAATAGGGGCAAGCTGCATAAAAGCCAGGAAACTGCCAAAAGATTAGTGCTTGCTGGTAAGGAGCTGGAGTGGGGAAGGGATATAGTTCTGTGGGGACCACCAAAGGGCAGATTTTGCCCTGAGTTTGCAGATAAGAAGGTGAATGCCACCCCTGCATGTACAGCCAGAGGCGTGGCTGCCAGATCAAGAGAGGTGGCATTCAGGAAACTCTGGGGCTGGGAGCCCATGACAGGCTCTAATAGCTTGCCTAAAAATAGGACACTGGAGACCAGTTGGTACTTATCCACTATAGTGGGATGCAGGGAGAGCTTTTTCAGTGCGGGTCTCATCACTGCCATCTTTCAATACATTCCAACTACAGTAAGGCTCAAGGCACCTTGCACATGCATACAATTAAACATGCATACAATTAAAATATTACAGTACACAGAAGTTATACATATAATTAAATAAGATAGATTATTAAAACTATCTAAAACACGCCAGGGCTAAAACGAAAATTTGACGTAGCAGGGTTTCTTGCTAGTAGACCATGGCTGAAGAGACTGTGGCATTCCAGATGTTGCTAAGCTCCAGTCGCCATCAGCCCCAGATAGCCTGATGAATGGAATGGGGACAGGAGTTCCTGTTCCTCAGCATCAGGAGGGCTACAGGTCCTGAAGCTCCAGTGGAAGAAGTTAGCAAATGGTACTGAAAATGAACAGCACCTAGAATGCTGGATTACATTCTTTCCCATGCGAATTTCCTTTTGTTTTTTCTTGTTTCCAGCTGTATTTTTCAAAATTATTATTACTTAAGGAATCACCTTCCAAAGTGGCCAAATGAGGTGTGAGTGGATCTGATTGCCCTAACTGTAAATGCATGATGGATTTCACAAAACAGCAAGTGGGGAAAGGGTGGACAGTCAGATTGGACCTGCATGATGCCGTTCCTCCCAAACATCTCACAAGGCAAAAATCCTGAGAGACAGCATTTCCCCCAGGCATTTCTCCCTTGTATTTCCTTGTACCTATCTAAAAATAAGCCCTCGAAGATCCCACACTGGAACCAGCTTGGTCAACTTCTGTGATGTGTGAAATTCCAGGCCAGTTTGGTTAAAGGCGAGCACTGATAATCTCGTAGCAAAGGAACCTGGATTTTGCTTCTGCAGTTGTCAAAAATAAAATGAGGCAACACACTGCAAACAAATAGAGAAGGGAGATGGGAGGAGGGTCTACTGCCGGCCAGTTGTAATAGACCCAGTCCCCCAAATAGCAGATGCAGCTATTAAAAGATTCCGGAGCAGCAAGTCCTTTGTGCCAATAGCGAAGTGACACTAAGGTTGCAAAAGCTAGCGATATTCAACACGAGCTGTGTGACTAAGGCAGGTTGCCGCTCCACATGCCGTTGCCAAAGTACAGCTGGAAAACATGACTTCACCAGAGCCGTGCCCTTGGTACGGACAGAGAACAACTGAGCCACATGTCCCAATATCCGTCGGTCTGGCGCCACTATTTTCAAAAGCTATTTGTAGAACTATTAGCATCCATATATTTCTGACATTATTTTTGGTCTTTGAGATGTAGTAGACTGAGTTTTTTTCTTTCTTTCTTTTTTGGTAGCAACGTAAGGAAAAATACAAATTCCCCTCCCGAAAGTAATAAAAATGGAAACGGCACTGCCGGCTCGTTTCAACAATTTATTTTCAATCACTCGGAGTTCCGATCCTTTCCAAGTATGAGTAAGAAATGGGTTTGTACACACACAAGCTGATTTTGATTAAGCGTGACACACAACACTGACCTCTGCCAGCGGCTGGCAAACATACACACTTGGGGAAGGAATATGGTGTTTGGAGTCCAGGGGAGATTGGCTAAGTTCTCCTCTGTGTCCCCAGGGCTGGATCTGACTTCCAAAGTCTATTCCCACCATGCTTAAATCACTTCCTGGAGACTGGGCAGCATTAGCCATTTTCGTGTTTCTCACACACAAACTCTGTCTCTTGCCCCCGGTGGACAATTCAGTGGAGTCCTGCTGGGTTAAGGGCCCAGCCACACAGGTTTCGTGCAGGCTCTTCACAGTCTCGGAGCGGGTGGACTGCACCCTGTAGGCTCTGCCTTCCAAGTAAGTCTAAGTTAGATTTCAACAAAGCCTTTCCACTGAGCTGCCTCAGGCACGCCCTCTCTCTCCTCAGGCCTGGAGTGGTGGCTGCTGCCCTCAAACATTTCCTGGTTCTTCCCAGAAAGACCTACTCAGGTCAAACTGAGTCCTTCTTTCATATTATTACACACACAATGGAACATGAGAGTGCCAGGCACACCCCATCCCCAGCTGGAGCATACGGCATGCGGAACAAGGCCTGTGTACATATTCCAAGGGCATATTTGCATGGGCTGTAAGTCATCAAGAACAGGGATAGATGGACTGTCGCTCTGGCTGCTTGGTCCCATGCCCACTGCTTCCATATGGGCTGGTGGAAGTTAGCCTTACAGAATCCTTTCAGTGGCTCAAAATCACTAGTCCACGTGTTCATAACTCCAAGAGGTGTGCTGCCCCCTAGAGGTGTGTTCTAGAGGCCTTCCACCTACAAGCAGCTCCTGTGAGCTACCTGGAAAGCAATTCCAAGAGTCCACGAGATTCTGGAAGTGGCCTCTGATAAGCAGTGGCAGTCCCAAAAAGTGTGCACGATCCTCTTGGACTTGCTTGTAACAGCCAAGGGAGCAAGAATGAACCATGGGACCACACTTTTCATTAAATAAAGTCTATCTTCAAAAGACCATTCTTAAGCTTGGTATCTTTGCCACACTTCAAGAAGTAGAATCCAAGGTGAAGTTTATACACCTTCATAATGTATACCACACATTTCATTAAAAAAAAAGGCCAAAGTGGGAACAAAATGCAAACAGACAAAGCAAAAACTTTAAGCAAGATTGAAACAACATAAATGCAGTTGTAATTTTAAAAAGATTTTGCAGAAGCTCCTACTGCACTTTCCTCCTATGAAAAAGAAAGTTTTTCATTGCCTTTCAGAAAAACAGGTGGTAGGATTCCATATGGGTTTCTGGAAGGAGAGAATTCTATGATTCCTAAGTCTTGACAGAAAGGGATCAGTTCCTGGAGATGAACAGTTTGACCTCTTTGCAAGATGAAATCTGGATCATGGCCACACCTACAGGTCATTTTCCCACTTTGAGAGGGAGATAAGAATTGTGTTATTTCCTGCTATGGGACAATGAAAAACCCCTTGTTTAGGGACATGAAACCTGCTCTCGATTTCTGAATTCAGAAGGACAAAGAAAGTTCCCAAGGAATCCTCCCCATTTGCCCCCCCCTCCACACACACACCCCACCCATCATAAACGGGCATTTTGCTAAACAACTTGAAGGAGCACAGTTTCTGCTCACAGCCTGCCTCACTCTGGAGAGGTGCTGCACTGGCAGATCACAGATCCTGTGGCCTGGCATTTCATACGCCCAACCCCCTCACTGAAGCCACATCCCACTGGCAACAAGAGGCAAGCGCATTGTGCGCCTGGGATTTCTGGCAGTCCTCAGTGCCAAGGCCACTCGTCCACTGAGCAAGGAGAAAGGATTGCAGCCAAGCTGCTGAACTGCTGAGAAGCGGAGCTGCTGGCTGTGAAGCCCACATTCTAAGATCCTCTGCAGCTCTGGGGCCATTAAACATTGTGGCTGGCCGCAGATGGCCTCCTGGAAGAGCTCTCGGAAGCCACACGCCTCTCCCCCCCTGCCTCTGTCTGTGTGTGCATAGCGGGGGTGAAAGGAAGCGGGGAGACGCAGGGTGCAGATGGGCAACACGCATAAGAAAAATACACGCTCTCAGATTAATGTCCTGTGGCCTTTACCACTCGCTTATTTCCCCTCTTGTCTTGAAAATGTTCTCCAAGACTTAAGAGGAGCTTTTCAGCAGAGTGCTGCAAGGGGGCTGGGAGCGGTGGTGTTCTTGGGATTTTTCTGCTTACCTTTCACTGGGCATCCCAGCAGGATGTTTGCTCCCCTTCTTGCCAGGATTGTCCCTCCAACCGGCACAGAAAGGTTCCAAAGCTTGGCATCTGAGGTGTTGCTTATGGAGGAAAGTATAGTAGGAGCTTCTGCAAAGAAAGGACAGGAGAAATTGATAACTCTGGATAGGCAGCTTCTGTCACTCTCCATGGTGACCAAGCAACAGAATGTCGGCATGAGACAATGCAGAGAAATGAGCGGGGCTACAGCTAGCAGGAGGTGCCCATGTCCTCGTTCGCTCGGCCTCTTCTTCCTCCTTTAAGGCAAGCTCCTTTCCTCACCAGATACTTCTCCCAGCAACTACCAGTCACTGCTATTTGGGGAGCTGAATTTGCACTCACATTGTTTACATCTCAGTTATGGTGGTTTGGTGAATTCAGCCTTAGTTCCACTCTACCTGGCAATATGCTGCATACTTCATTGGATGCTGTAAGATTATCCATGATCTGATCCAAGGGTCTGCAATCCATTCACAGCTGCCAAATTTTGAAGTGCCATGTAATTACACAATTCTAATCCTTGAACAGAGGATCCCACACCACTGATTTGACTATATATCTCAGGTTGCGTAATAAGTAAGCAATACTTAGAGACCATTAAGGGAAAAACTGACTGATGTGGGTACATGTATGTTTGTGTGTTTATCCACTGCAAAGCAGATATTAATTTGTGCAAGATGCTCATAGTGTTATAATTACTCCCTCCTCAATTTCCTTTTAATTTCCCACTTGAAAGAGAAAAGAAAGGGAGAAGTTGTTTGTGATGAAGGAAGTTGCAAAATAACAGCATTAAACACCACCTGCATAAAACAGCATCGATGTTTCCATGTCGGAACCAAAGTCATTCTCCACGATGCAATGGTACACACCCATTTCTTTCCTGGTTAGGTTCAAAATATGGATTTTGCCACTGTCTTCCAAAACCACTCTGTGGAATGTGTGCAAAACAAACCTGGTTTAGCCAGGAAGAAGCAAAACATTGTTCCAACACTCCCAGAGAAAACAGGAAGGGATCTTCCACCTAAGCTCAACAACATCAGCACAGTTAAGCTCATCTAAAGAGCATTTACTCAAACTTTCTGGGACAAGCTAGTGCAGCCACGTGTGGTAGTTTTATGTAGCTTCATGTAAGCACACACGCGTGGCCCCCACTTCAGATCAGGACCATGGCACTCTTGGAGGTAACCAACCTCTTCTCCACTCATCTCCCCCTTAAATTCCACATATTCCATAGGGCACAAGTTAAAAGAAGAGGGGAGAGGGAAAGTGCCATGGATTTCATAGCGTTAATATGCATGAACAGCCAGCCCATCACTTAGTCTGCCCCTCGTTATCTATGAACTTGCCGGTGCACATAAGGTCCAACCAGAAGGAATGCGACTGACATGACTTCTCTTTGAAAGACTGCCAGAGGTCACCCCTTTGTGTTGAGCCGTCCCTGTCACAAAGCCGGAAAGGCTGTTTGGTCCAAGTCCATGTCCATGTTGAATGAAGGAAACTCCATGAGGAAGAGCAAAGGAAGCTGCCCACTGTCAGCTTCTGGGCGGAAGACTGGATGAGGCATGCAGCTCCTCTGGCCACAGCCGTCCACACTAGAGTGAGATGTTCTGTATTTCATTTAAATTATAGTTACTTCTCAGCCGGCATCTATAATATAAGCCCAGGCAAATTTTATGAAAACTGTCCCCTTTCGTTCTGTTTTCGGGTGATGCATGTTTCTCTTTTGGCCATTCAGTAGTGGCCATCCTAGGCTAGGATTGGTCTACCATTTCAGATACTTCGCCTTGCCACATGTCCTGATATGTTTTAAAACAGAACAGGAGGGAAAGCAGAGAGATGTAATTGGTTGGATGCAGAATCTGCTTCCCACAAAAGCAAGGGACCTTTGTGGATTGCCCCCTGCCCCAGTTCGCCCCTTTCAGCACAGTCTCTCGACTATTTTCAGGGGATCCGACGGGCAGCCAAGGGAGGGAGGGGAGTCCCCTTCCATCAGCTCAGCTGATCCCGCGTGGTGCTAGACTCAGTGGAATATTTGTCAATGTTACTATGAAGATAAGCTCATTTCTTTTAATCCGTGATGCCAAAATTGGGTTGTGGTCAAATGAAACGTAGATTGTAGCAGTAGGGCTTAACCTGTCCTTCAAAGACAGACAGTCAGACAGAGAAAACAGAGAGAGATTTATGGAAACAGAAAGGAGAGATAAAAGAAAAAGATCAAGAGGCTGATGAATAAGTATGGAAGGCAATGAAAAATGGGCTGCTTGCACATTGCTATTCATTTAAAAGTCCTTTATGTCTAAAATCATAATGCTAATTCTGTAACTAGGCAAATAAAGGGATTTTCATGTACAATTTGACCATAAATATTTGACAGGACTATGACATGACTCATTCAGAAAAACACAGAAGAGAAAGAAGATTTCATTTTACTTACTTCTCAGAGGACTTTAACTCCATTCCATCTTTTGTCCAAGTATATTTAGGACTGCTAACCCCAACAGTTTCACAAAGCAAATTTATAATGCAGACATCCTTTGTTAAGAAAAGTGTACTTCCAACTCGTACAGTCACTGTTTTGTTAGAATAAACCTGTGGCCCTTCTTTTTGCCTTATGATCACTGGACCCTTCTGACTTATCACTGCATTGCCTTGGGGTTTTGTGCTAAGATTATCAGAGAGGTCTGGAGACTTGCCAGGTTTCCTAGAAGGTAGCTTTTCATCTTCTGCCTCCTTCAGTTTTTCTGAAGCTGACTGTGCAGGCTTGGATAACTCCGCAATCAGCTGATAGACGAGCTGAGAGGCCAATTCATCATCGACTTCTCCAGCTTCAACAAGATGGCTCAGATTCTTGATTAGTTCCTCAAAATGAATTGTATCCATACTGTAAGCACCAGGCAGAACAACTGCTTCAAGGTGCTTATTTGTGAATTTGCGAGAGCCATATTCTGCAGCTGAATTTCTCATCTGGGTTTCTAGATGTCGCAAAAAAGGCTGGTCGTTCACTTGCCCATCACCAAGATACTGCTCTGCCTTCCTGCTCCACAGTTTCCACATCAGGCTCACCTTATGCCACTTTGCCCCCAAACTGTTGGCCTCGTTGTGTTCGGAGCTGCCACTTGCCCCCATGTGCTTCTGGAAAGTGGGTGGTTCAATCAGCCGGTTGTCTGTGCCAATGAGCTTCAGAACAAAGGTCTCCTGAGCCGAGCCAGCAACGCACTTGTACACACCTATGTCAGAAGTCTCAAGGCTATTCAGCTTGAGCGATCCCGATTTTGTGACTCCAAGACGCTTAGAGATTTGGAGGCGCTGCCCATCTTTCTCCCATTGGATCAGAGACTTTTGGAACCTCCGGACTGGGCATTTGATGACAACAGATGTTTTTGGAAGTAGATAAGCTCGGCTCCCAATAGTAAAATTAATGCGTTTCTCTTGCCTTGTCTGTATATACACTCTGTGGATACTGAGAATCTGCGGTCCAGGGGAAGCATGCTTTCCAAAAGGTTTAGGCTTCATTTCTTGCTTGACCTCTGAAACGAGGAAATCATACTGAAAAAATGAACACATGGGCTACTGCTTCATTTCCTATCACCTGTTTTAATTTTCTTTAAGAGCTGGAAACAACATTTACCCTGATGTGCTTCACATCAGTGTTTGTCTTGACAAGTTCTGGGCTTGGCACACCAACATCCCAAAAGTCTCAGTGATCACAAGGGGAATCAGATCTTAGCTCAAAGGGAGACTTGCATTGGAAGGCCTTAAATCATCTTATTCACCTCGGACTGAAAACATAGTAACCTAGAAATAGCTAGAATAATTTATTTATTTATTTATTTATTTCCCTGATAGATTAGCTTTTTTATCTGACCGAGGTGTTTTTCTTAAGCAGCATATTCTAACACAAGATCCCCAATCTGCATTCTAAAGTGAGAGTATCACTATTTTCACCTAGTGTAAAGAGAGGGGTGCCTTTGTGACACCAGCCGCTATCACATCTATCCTTAATCTCATCTCAGACCTATTTGTATGACTAGCAACCAACACCACTCCTACAAAGACCACCATTCTTAACAGACTTGGCAATACAGCTCCAAGAGTGAATGCGGGCATGTAGAGATGGGTAACCATCAGTACGGCTATTAACCAGAAACACACATGGAGGAGTGTTCAGGAGCTGAGGAACTTGAGAAAAAATTGAGCACCCAAGTAGCACAGAGACAGAGGAACAGGCAGCAAGGCATATAAAGCTGGGCAAAGTCAGCTGGGAAAGAAAGTTGGAGCTCACTTTTGTTTACCTCCTAATCTGGAACCTTAAATGCAGGGGAAAGGGAAGATGCTTTCTGGCCCAGGTGATCTCATGCCCCTCTTTCATGCTGCCCACAACGTGCCACGTCCCTTTCAGGTTAGTTAGTGATGCAGTCCTGACTGTTAGGCAGCCTAATTGAAGGAATGCCCACCACTCTAAGTCTCTGCCCTTGTGAGTCTGGGGATACGGAAACATCACTGAATAAACACTGTACCACATTTTATCAATGGCTAAAGCAAAACTGACTTGGCCAGGTGTGGCATCCTATCCTTTCCATTCAGGATACGTCTGTTATGTCTAGAAGGGTATAATATAAACATCACCCAGAAGGTGGTTGTTATTCTGTGCTCTCAAGTTGTCTCCAACTTATGACAACCTTATAAATGAAAGCCCTCCAAAAGGCCCGTCCTTCACAGCCCGGCTCAGCTCTTGTAAACTTAACACTGCGGCGTCCTTTATGGGATCAATCCACAGCGGACCTTCCTCTTCTGCCTTCAACTTCCCCTGGCTTGATTGCCTTCTCCAGTAAGTCATGCTTCCTCATGATATATCCAAAGTACAGCAGCCTTAGTTTCATCATTTTTGCTTCTGGGGAAAGTTATGGCTTGCTCTAGCAGAACCCACTTGTTCATCTTCCCGTTGGCCCAAGGCATTTGTAAAGCTCCCCTCCAGCACCATGAAGAAATGCATCCCTTCTTCCTATCAGCTTTCTTCACTGCCCTCTTTCACACCCATGCATAGTCCTTGGGAATGCAATCATGTGGGTGACAACTTAGAAGATTGCCATGTTTTTATATACTGTTTTAAAATCACATCTAAACTGTTTGCAAATGCTGATCCGCCATTCTGCTCATTTATCAGTAAAGGTAAACAATCTTGTCCCAATGCTGTCAGAAGCATATTTTGCTTTTCCTGGGTTTTTTCTTTTTTCTTTGTAAAGAAATGTAAAAGGTCTATGGATGAATGCTAAGCAATCATCTATAACCAATTTTATGGCCGGGTTTCCATATACATTGGTGAATTAGCATCTTGGCTTATTAATTATGGACAGTAAGGATACCCATATGGATGCGTGGCTCCTACATCAATAATTTCATTTCTGAACATCAAATAAGTTGGTGAGTTAATCTTTATAAATTTGATTTATTTTAATAAAGATGCAGTTCAAAATATTTGTTTTAATGAAAATGAGCCAGTATGTAAGTTATTCATTTCCAAAAAGCCCAGTATATATGTAGCATAAGTGTGCCTTTAAAACTGAAATATTTTTGAGCTTACTTGGGTTCATACTAAACTATCCCAACAAAGAATACAGGCCATGCATGGCTATGAATATATGCATCTAATTGGCAAGATTTTCCTGACTTTTCCTACCCACTCCTTATTTTAAAGAATGTCTGGATTACTCCGCATTCAGAAAATCAGAACGGAGCCTATTCTGTCTGAATAGGTGACAAGTTTGAGAGAAAGAGTGAGAAGATGAAGGTGGAGAGAGGGGGAGATACTTGTTCCATTTTGGGAACTGAAGGACAGCAAGTTCCTGTCCAGAGCATCTCCATTTGCCGCAGCAGAATTACCTATTAAGGCCTTGGGTAGAGGCTTGCTTTGCTTGTCTCCCCCAGCGGAGGTGTTGCTGAAAGTGACCTGTAGCAGGGCCTTCACAGTGGTGGCACAAAGGGCTGAGGAATGCCATTAGGGACATAGGAAAGGGTCATACACCAAGTCAAGCTACTTGACCATCTAGTTCAGTACTGTTGACTGCAGCAGCTCTCTGGCATCTCAGACTGAAGACACAGGAAGGTCATGTCTATTAAGGTGTCTATTCTCATATATCCTCTCTGTCCTTCTCTGGGCATATTGCTTTTTATACTGCAGGAATAATGGCTTAGTAATCATTTTTCCACCCAATGGAATCCTGGGAATTGCTGTGATGGGTGGGTGGCGGGGAGGACAAGAACTTGATTTCTAGCAGGATTCCTTGCACCTGTCCTAAACCGCACATTCCCAGGATTTGGAGACAGGGAGGGGATGGGAAGCCATGTCAAACTAGCAAACTACTGATATAACTCTGTAGCCTAGACATATTTTCACTCTCCTCTATCTTTCTACTCATCTCTCTCTCTCCAATTCCTTTAAAAACCAATGTTGTGTTGCCAATAGTGTAACACTGGACTCACTCCCATGAAAAATGCTTTATGCCCACTTTCACACATTACAATCTTCCTATACAGATGTGCATGTGCTCAAAAAACAGCATTTACAGTATGTAAAGTCTAATGTGTGCAGAACAGACAAGCATCTGTCCTGCCATATTTAACAAGTCAGAGTTGGTGGGCATGCATGTTTCAAAATAAAGTGTTTTGCCACTCCTCTTACATTCAGAAGCATTTCACATTGATGCAACGTTCAAATTATCACTGTCTGGAAAGTTTTGGTGAGAGTATGAGAATTCTCTTATGTTTTCCTTTCCTTCTTCCAGATGCCTATCCAAATCTAAATTCAGAACCGAACTGCATAGTCACAGAGTGAAGTGGTGTACATCTTATGAGATTATAGTACTCCCCCTTGAAGAACTAATTTTCTGCATGCAAGGATTTATATGTGGGCGAAATGTTCAGTTATGAGTTTTTACCTTGCAGTTTAAGATGCTATATAAGAGGCACACCATATAATTCTGCTGATTGTATAGAATGGCTCTGAAGTAGTAATTCATCTAAATCCTAAACTGAACCAAGATTATCACTATTTAAGCCACCATCCATTTATAAAACATTTTCCCAAACCCTTTTGTGTTTCTTCCTTGCAACAGCTGAGGTTGACACGATTTCTTTAACATCACTCTCCACCAAGCAATTTGCAGACCGGACACACTACCACGCAAATATCCACAATTAATTAAATTCAGATAGATATGCAGCACAAAAATATTTTATTAAATGCTGTGCCAAGGACATTCCTTTAAGTCCATGGAGCTTTATTTCAAGTGGTGTTTTGTACCTCAGAATTTTGGCATGTTCATTGGCAATGAGATCCAAGAAAAAAAGTTTCATATTATGTATGAACCAATAATTACTCAAGCTGCTATTTTGTTTGGTGCGTTGCTTTTCATGCAGAGCTAAGATATGCAGCCAAGCAGCCAAAGAAGGCCATTAATTTAAAGAATGGCTTGCATTCAAGCCCCATACCTGTTGCAAGGCCAGTGTCCCCCACGGCCTCTCTCTTTATGATAACATTCTGATCTACAGGCCTGATAAACCAATTCGAAAGCCATCTCTACCATTTTCATGCTGTAAGGGTGAAACTTCTGTTCAAAAGCTAGATATTCTCTCTCTCACACACACACACTCACACTTGCACAGGGTCTCATACATGTACACACACAGGGGGATCCTCAGTCACGCTTAACAGGCCAATATATTCCAGCCTTCTCCATTCTGGTGCCTTCCAGACGTTTTAGACCCCAACTCCCATCAACCCTTGCCAACAGTAAGGAATCCTGGGAAATGTGGTGCAAAACATCTGGAAGGCTTCAGGTCAGGAAGAGTGGCTCATGCAATACGGGCCACACAGGGCCACCAGTGAAAAGCAGGCACGCTTCCCCATGTTTTGTGTGCGTCGACCGAGGAATGTTTAAATGTATGCCTAGGATGCAAAGCGTCCATGGAGCAAGCTCATGAAAATAACAAATGATGTACTGGGAATAGGCAGAATATCAATACTTGGAAAGAGGAGGAGGAAGCGTAGAAAAAAAAGCAAGTCAGAAGGGCCTCCTGGGCCATCTAGTCTGACTCCCGGCTCCAGCTGGCTCTGCTCATGCAATACCCACAGGAGAGAGGAAACAGCGGTAGCATCCAGTTGTCTCAGGCTGGGAGCCCAAGGCATTTGCTGCAGCAGCTATTTCCAACAGGGGCCACCCGGGATGTCTCTGAGACTGGTATCCAGAGAGCAGTACCACCTCTCAGTCTGGGAACTCTATTTAACCATCCCAGTCAGAAGCTGCCTATTTTCTTCATCACTTTTCCTAAATGTTTTAAACATTCCTCCGTGCTAGTGGGCCTCACAAGCATAGTGCGGGAAGGAGGTCCATCATTTAACGACAGCACTGTAAAACGGAGGGGGGGGGTCACCAGGACTGGTTGCAGTTCCCCATGGGGTGCACAGTCGGTCCAACATACTTTTGGAATTGAGGCAGAGGGGCTTTGAAAGCAGGCTGTTCTACGACAT